ATATTATATAATTTTTATATTATTAATAGATATATTCTTATTTTCCATTTAATAATGTATATATAATAATGTAATTGATATCTAAATTGTTATTATATACGTTTTTATTATTTCCATAGTTCTTTTTTTATAAGATTAATTATATAAACGTATTAGTCTATGTCTAATTTTAAATAATAATATAATTAAAATGTAGAGCAGTATACTATAAATAAATAATGGTTTATATTTCATTAATGTCGATATATTTTTTATGTATATGTTTTTTATTATAGAATAAAATAACATTAAATACATTAATGTTTTATTTATAAATATATATTTATGAATAATTAAATAAAACCTTGTGACAAATTTGAATAAGTATTTAATCTTATTATGTTATTTTATGTGTAAAATATTCTATTTTTTATATAATATTTTACCCTTTAATTTAGCATGGAATATATGTTAAATTTTGATACCATAGAAAATTTCAATTTTATTGTTTTCTAAATAAGTAGTTGTATAATCACGATAATACACTAAGTACTATAAATATTACAAAAAAATTTCATTGATAATATATAATCTATATTTTTATATATTATTATGAATAGATGGTATAATAATTTATTTATTCATATGTATATAACAATATTGTAGTTTTCATGTAAAAATTAATATGCATAATATTTTCTTTCAAAAAGGACAATGTGCTAAAATATAAATGAATAAACATAGGGGAAGAGCATGTATATAATGAATTACAACGTATATATTAATTTCCTTTTATACGAACAAATTATATTCAAATTTTTTTTTAAACATTATGTATAATATTTTTCTGCATGTCTTCATAAATATATATAAATTTTATACTTTTTTACATATAGTATATTATAATAATTACAATTAAATATAATACATACATAGATTTTGTCTAATATATTATAAATTTGTAATACAAAAAATTATTTTACAAAGTATAAATACTCTAATATTTGAATTTTTAGATTATAAATCCTGTTTCGCTTAGTAATTTTATTTATAAATATTAATATAAATAAATTAATAATTACTAATTTACAATGTTTCTAGCACCCTATTCATCAAAAAAAAAAAAAAATGAATTGTAATAAAATTTCTTAAATGATAGTATAAATAACAATATGACTGTATGAGGTGTGTAATTTTTTTTATCTACTTGAACACTATTCTTATGTTTAAATTAATATTTCATAAAAATATACAATATATAGAATAAATATGTGATCTTATAATCATACTTTTTTATTGTTGAAAGACATATATAATTAAGTGTACTACTAAAAACTATTATATCACAGTGCATAGGTTATTAAGAAAATAAAATTATCAATTATATGTGATGTGTTAGTATTTTATTTGCCAGAAAATAATTAAATGTTTGCAATTTAATAGTATCCATAAATATTATATTCTTTGAAATATATATTTATATATATACTTATTAATAAATTAATTGTCATAAAAAAATAGATCAGTAAGAACAATTTTTAAGCATAATATTTTACTAAACTAATATGTAGGAAATATTATCTTGTGTTATACTATATAAAATATTGTTCTTAATATATTGTGTATATAATAATATCATCATAATTTATTATTCATTTAAACAAACATATCTATATATTATATATATATGTACTCATTACAAACATAGGCTTATGCAATTTATATTATGGATATATTAAAATAAATATAATGTTAAATAATTATTACATATATTCTAACTGATATACTGATGTATTATATTTATTATATTTTTTCATCGCATATATTACAGATATAAGGTAATCATAATTTTATATATATTATATATAAAAAATTCTAGATATAATAGCTTTTCTACAAAGAAAAAATATGTTTGTATATATGTGTAAAAGTTCTTTAATTTTTTAATTATGTTTATAAATATTATTTAATTAGGAAAAAAAATAAAAACATCAGCAGAAGAAAAATTAAACGAATAAATGTGTTTCAGATAAATGGAATAATAAAATTTAATTCTATTGTCATTCTAAATGGAAACATATATAAATAACGTATGAATAACATGGAAAAGAAATTCAATGTATAATATTTATTAGTAATATCATTTAGTGTTACAAGACATATATCTCAATAAAATATTAAATTGTATCTATATATTCTATTTATTACAAATTATTTAATATATTTTAAATATTAAACTTTAAAACTTGATATTATTATAATTATATTTATTAATTTATATTAGTTTTTAAGCAACTCTTTTTATACCTAAAGCATAAAAGTTTGCTCTAGAAACTATATACTTAATCTTTTTTAAATTATTTTAATATAGGATAAAAGATTTATATGATATATATAATTTTTAAACTGCATGCCTATATACTGAATATATATTAATCATCTTATTCCTAATAGATCATATGTACGTTTTGTACTAGATGAACATTATTTTCTAATAATGCATCTTTTGTGATAATATTTTTAATACGTCTACATATTACATGCTACAGTAATATACATTTTTATATATTTTACAATTATTCAATGTATATAGTGTAGCAGATTTATTTAAATCATAAAGTCTAGAAAATTATTTATATGTAAAATTATTTATATTATGCTAAATATGCTTTACCTATATAAAATGCATAGATATTCAATAAGATATAACATATTTAATTGAAATTTTTATTATAATTATAATAATAATTTTATATAATTAAATGAGCTAATATGATTTTCTTTAATTGACATAAAAATATAGTTCTATAATAATTATTTTAGTATTCATTTAATGGTGTTATATATTAATTGTATATCAATTAATCAGTGTATGAGTTTCAATTATTGCTATGAAAATATGTTACATGCACCCTTCTGAATTACTCATGTTATTATAACATTGTTTTTATCTGATTTATTATTCATGATTTTAATGTTACATTTATTACAAATTATTGTTTAATTATAAGTATATATTGAACTTTAAATTATAATGCATTGCTTATGTGTATGTTTTTTGTGTTATAAAGCATTTAAAATATAGAATTTATATTAATGTATTGCATTTGTTCAATTTTTTATGATATGTTGTGTTAAATGTTAGAACTAAAATATTTATTTTATATTATTCTGTAATATATAAATTTCTTTTTTTAATTAAATACTAAAAAGAATAAATACGTTTTACATTGTCTATTTTATGAATATAGTTGTAATATTATCTACAATTATGCTTCTTCAGATATTTTTAATTATAATATATTGTAATTGTCAATGTATATTTATAGATTCATTATTTAATATAATTTCATTATAAAATATGTAACTATGGCTTATTATATTGAAATAAATTAAATAATTCATAATATTTATTAATCAAATTAGGAAAACATTAGAATACATTTATAATTTAATCATTATGATTAAATTCATTTTTGAAATATATATTAATTCTTGTCTACAACTATTAATTTTTATAATTAATTTTATGTATTATTCAATGTCAATAAATTTATGTTTTTATAGCACTTTTATTAAGATTATTCTGCTGTGTTATATAATATATCGTGTTTATTTTTAATTATATTTTTTTGTGACTGTTCAAATGAGTTCATTAATTCGTAATGTTTTTTAGCTTTTCTATACTGCATATCTTTTAACATTCTTCTCCTTGGTCGTAAATATGAACCATAAGCAGTATACTGATATTTAAGAAAAAATATGATATTTCTATGATGAATTCATTAATTATATATTATATATTTATTATAAAATATATTATAAATATTTATTGAGTAATTATTTAATTAATTAAATTAATTTTTAACATTATACACGATAAAAATAATTATTAATATTACAAAAAATAAAACACCCGCGCTTGTCCACGTCACTGGAGAATCAATATCTCTTAATAATGCATTCGCATTTATCATGCTTTTTGGTGGTATCATCAAAGAACGGCTCAATAAATTGTCGTCACATTCGTAAGGGTTTCTTTGCTTGTATTTATGGAATTCACGTTTAAATATATCCAGTTCTTTCTGAACAAAATTCTCATGCACATTTTTTTTTGTTCTACTAATTTCATCATATTTGTACACACATTTCTCAGCGTATGTGTTTTTATTATTATTTATTTTTAAATATTTAAAATTTTTATATAATTCATCAAACTTTTTGAATATTTCTAATAAAAGAGGATCATACATCAATGATATATACTCTTTACATACACCAAGTCCATGTAAGCCTTCCGAACGGTATGCTTTTATCAATTCATTGTGAACATCATCAAATGTTTTAATATTGCGAACTTTATTATTTGCTTCACGTTTTAGTTCGTAGATAAAAAATTTACAATAGTTCATTCTATCTTTATCACTTTTATCTTTTATTTTGTACAAATAATAACCAAGTTTGTCACAGGATGTATAAAAAGTATTATTCCACCTAGCACCAGGAGTAAATTTCACACTAATATCATTGCAAGCCTTGCTTATTTTAGAATATACAGCACTTCTATGAAATTCTCTTTCGAAAAAATAATTATTATAATTATCCTGACATGTGGGAAATATATCCTTAAAAGATATCTAAAATTCAAATTGGTGGTTCATATAAATGATTTATATTTACAAGAAACATATTTTTATTTATTTTTCTTAAATATTACAATTTTAAAACATACTAAAATGAATTATATTTTTAATAATATGTAGATATTAACTTCAACTTTAACTACTTCTGCATCACTCATTATATATGCTAAATAATAATAAAATAAAATTATATTTATTATTATAAATTATAGCGTGCTGAAAATAATAGAATTAATATAATAATGATATTATATATATTATATTCATTAATTTATAAATATAATAAAAGATTAAAATTTTTATTTTTATATATTATAATATTATAGTATAATTCGTTCTTATTATATAGAAGATTTCGGGTTCATATTTATGATACAGTTTTAAAATTTTAGAGTTTCAGGTTTAGTTTTATTATTTTTGCTATTTATTATATAATTCATGATAAGATATTATATATTTATATTCAGTGTCATGAAATATGTATATAAGTTTTCTATATCAGTAAATATTATAATTTATATTAATTATTTTTGAATTCATACATTGTGTAAATACATTATTTATATACTCTCAATAATATTATATTAGTATTAGACATTTCATATTTATATTATATTCTTTTTATATATAATTTGTGTAAATGTTCTTTCCATAATCATTATTAATTATAATATATAATATTTTTAATTTATACATATTGTGATTGTCTGAATTATATTTATACACTTATAATTAATTATTTTTATATTTTATTAAATGATTTGTCTCATTTAATTTTCCATAATTCATACTTATTATACCATTTTATTTTGACTTTTTCATTAAACTTATTTTAAATTTTATAATTTTATACTAAAAATATATTTTTTTAATTTTCTAAATGATATATTTTTGCACAATTATTGCTCAAATATTTAGCGCGGGAAAACAATATGTGTTATTTACATTTACATAATAGCGCATATTTATTTATGCAAAAATATACGTTCTATATTTGTTTGTTTATATAATACCATAATATTGTGTAATATTAATAAATTAATATATTTACATAATTGTTC